TTGAGAAACATTCAAATTTCTCTCTTCTGGCTATTTTGAAGTGTATATGCAATGTTATTATAGACTATGGTCATCTTACTCTCCACTAGGAATCAAGACCTTGGTCTTCCTAACTTTGCACCTGCCGCTCAAGTTCTTCCCAATGTCCTCATCCTCTCCACTGGGTGGTAACCACTTGCCTACACTATTGTTCTGATTAGATTGTACATTATAAATTCTATCAAGACACTATTACTTCCAGTAGTGGAACAGAAGAACAGCTTATGTAGTAAAGCCTTACTTCTCTCCTTGGTTCAAGTTGTCCTTCGGAGTTTTGTAAGGAGAACAACACTACACAGTACACATATTATATAAGATTTTATAATGACTCACCCAAAGAATTATATACCAAGAGTGCAAGAAATCTGTCCATACACTAAGGACTAAAGAATCCAGTTGAGGGTCTGGATCCCACAGTCGGGTTCTGCATGAGTCTAACTGAAGACATAATAATTTTTCCCACATATCCAACTGGAGACCTAGAACACATGACAATGTCTCAGGCAGGCCTGTTTCATGGATCTGTGCCAAAGGCCAGTGGTGAAAGCTAGAGAGAAAGTCTGTGACAGCAAGATGAAGATTCTTTGCTAGCAGGCTGAGAGATCTGCACTGGACCTAGGAAATAATGCTCAAAGAACCAGAGCTCCCCCCAAAAGTACCACAGCCATTCTCAACAGCAATGAGGTCACAAGCTCTTTGATGATGAAGAAAGATGAATTTCCAACAGGAAAGCCAACAGTGATGAGCTTCTCCAGCAGACTGTGCAGTGCACTATCTTCCCTGTCAGAGCCAAGAATCAATGCTCAGAGTGAAGATTAAAGCTCCCCAACATGAACTATAGCCCTCCGCAGTGACAGTGAGGTCCTGAGCTCCTCATCCAGGGAGAACAACCAAGTTCACCAGGAAATCCAACACGACAAGATCCCCCAGAAGAATAACCCAAGAGAACTAGCAGCTTCCAGCAGCTCCCCAACAGCTTCCAAACAGTTTTCCTAACTGCCTCTCTTCTTCCCCAGGTGTGACTCTTATACTGCTGGCAACAACCCTCAGGTAGGCCTTCCACACCCAGCACCATACTTGTTCAGTTCAACTGAGTACAACAAGTTGATCACCAGTTTGCAATCCATCACAGTTTACAGAATGCTATAAATCAGTATATGTATTTGCCAATATATAGAATCCTGAGCAGTGGTTAAGCACCCATATGTACTTTCTTCATAGTGTATTTGAGAATCACAGGTCATTTGGTGGTTCCTCTTCCACAAATTGGGAAACACTACTGCAGAAATTAGTTGATGATCCCCCAAATTCATATAACGCTGACTTGCTCATTAAACTCCATGAAATCAAGCTAAAACTGCGTGCTACTCTTGTATTTTATATATTTGTACATATTCTTATTTTTAAAATATATTCTAATATTTAAATGTTTTTTATCATATTCTGTAGGGACTTAAAGTTCAACATATCAATACTTGATGAAAAATACCTGTTCCATGTTATGCCTAAGATGTTTGATATTCAGACAGATAGTGAGGTTAAGCTTAACAGCCTAAGGTGTATGGTAATAACAATAAACTTGTCTTCTGGATGGTTAACAACCTAAGTTTGCAGACCAAAATTAGAAAAAAAGGAGGGCCACAAGGAAAGCCAACATTTTGGCCCTAGCCTTCTAAGGTCAGTTAAGATTCAGGCCATATGAGAACTTGTACTGTAACGTCATGTAACTCAGCAGTGTCCTAAATTTGATGATCAAGGAAATTATGGGGCCAAAGAGGAAAGTGATCGATGATATAGAGTGTGGCTAAGGAGAGTCACATGGAGAGAAAACATTCTCTCAGGCTTTCACAGAGAGCACATTGGCCAAGCAATGGCTGTGACTCATCCACATGGCTGACACTGACAAAGGTTCTACAATCTGAGGTACAAGATCCCAGGATAAATCCTGGTGGGATTTCACTGACCTTATCAGACCCAAAAGCTACAACTCTTGTTGCATAGGTCCAGCTTTACCTTGATCTTAACCATCCAGCAGAAAAGTATAAAAAGGAAATAAAAGAAGTAAAGCCATGCTGTTATGTTGAGCTGTAGGGGACTCAGGTCAACAATTTCTGACATTGCCAGTCAAGCAGAAGACCCAATACTATTATGGACTACTGGACTCTTTTAGAATATTTTGCTGAGTTAACACACCTATAATATTCAAATAATGGAACTTAACAAAAAAAGGGAATACAGATGAATGTCCATTTTGTATCTGTGTATTCAAAGTGGTTAGGATTTATATTTCTCTTAATGAATAGAGGGATTTGTTCTAATGGTGTTTGTAAATAGGATATCATGTCCGAATCCTGTACAGCAATTAACCACTAGGAAGAATGTATGCAATGTGCTAATCATTGAAACTGTCCTACCAATTTGATTTGAAACTGTCTCATTGCTATTTGTTTCTCAATAAAATTATGGGAAAAAAAGAATGAAGAGGAAAAAAAATAAAATAAAATAAAATTTTAAAAAATCCTGAAGAATGCTGATTATTATCTCTACTGCTATTTTGGTGCCCAGTAGAGAAAAAAAAAAAAAACATGTAATAGATCTTTTTCTTAAAAAATGTGTTTAGTACATGGTCTATAGGATGTACAGGGTCTCCCTACACAGCCCGAACTTGTAGTGATTCTTCTGTTTTCAACTTCCCAAGCACTGTGCTTATAGGTGTGTGCCACCACACCCAGTCTCAATGGCCATCTCAGCACACCCTGGGAGCAGGGCCTACAGGGATGCCAGGGACCCTACCCCAGCTGCTGAGCTCTGCCTAAACAGGTGCTTTAGTCTGCTGAACTATCCGGCCGGCCCAATAGATCTTGATAGTTAGGAAGCTGCATGTTAAATACACAGCTGGAGTCATAGAAAAGAAATATTTTCCATCAAAAGAGAAATTATATCTTTGATAAGAGAATGCTTGCTATATATTGCCCAAGTAAGAACCATTTCTAACTGGGGATGATAGTGCATGCCTGTAATCTCAGCATTCTGAAAGATTGAGGCAGGAGGATCACGAGTTTAAGACTAACTTGGTCAACTTAGTATTTAGTGTTGTTTTTCCTCATAATAAGGAAATAAAACAAAATAAAAAAGACTGGGGGTGTAGCTTATTGTTAGGGCCCATTCAATACCATTCAATTTTCAGGAAGTTGTTGCAAAACATTAGTTCAATACTAAAAAGTACATAATCATTGTCTTATTATATATGCATATATTGTAGTAGAAAAATATGGATGAATATGATAATTAACATTGCCAGTAATTTTAAATAACTTACCTCCAAACTAAATTTCCAGATTTTTATCAGTTTCTCCTTTTAAATAAAGAATGTCTTGTGAAAATTTAAGATACATCTTAAATAAATGGAATAAAAATTTTACTCAAAGGTAACATTAATTTAATTACTTTTCATTTTGAATAGCTCTAGTTGCAAAGGTAATAGAGGTGTTACATGCGTACCTCACCCACATTCTCCCAATATTAACATCTTATAGCACTGTGGCTTAGTTGTGGCAATGGATGAATTAGCATTGACATAGGCTAATTCAGATTTCTTCCGTTTTTCCTTTTTCCATTTGTCTGCTTCAGGAACTGATCCAGTGTATGTTAAATTACAATTTTTGCAAGCAATGTACCTTTTTGTAGAAAGAAAATATACCTTAGATAAAGGAAAAATATATAAATAATATAACAAATGTATGAATTACAATCAAATATGTTTTGGAAATAGAAATCAAATATACTTCTTTATGACAAGAACTTATGAAACTTAAAAATTTTACAGGTATCTGATATAGTAAATTCCAGCAAAATTATTATTTTCATTTTTCTTTCCATGTGTTTTTGATTTATATTTAATTTATTGTATAACCATCCAGTTATATAAAAATATTGAAAGAATGAATTCATACATACTCTGAAAAAGTAGAATTTATATTTCCACATATTTTACAGTGCTTTATGTACTATTTATAGACAGATATGTTTCCATAGCTACAACCTATTAGTTAAATAGGTTAAAAGATTATCTGTATAACTAGAGCTGCTACTCTAAAATATTTGAGGAAAGAGACAGAGGAAGAGAGAAAGACAGGGAAACATTCATTCAAGATTCAAGGCAGGGGCATTTCTGAGGAGTGTTGACATGCAGGAGACCTTCTTCATGTTTTTTCTGGAAATTAAATCGGGAACCCACACATACGGTTTGCTAACTGTACAACACACAGAATCCAAGAGGCCATCAACTTATTCATTCTGCAATTTTCAATTCCACACCATTTTTAAAGAAATAAACAAAAGATAAGGATAACTCATAGAAGACCAGAGGAATAATAAAAATATCCTTAAATGGTTAAGGAACATGATCTTTAAGCAATGGAATCATTCCCCCTAGAGAAAGAAAGCTAAAATCAATCTTCAGTCTGAACCTTGGCTACTACATAGAAGATGCAATCACTGGATCTACTGAACTTCAAACACATGGAACAAATTGTAACATACAAAGATAAATGTGAGACTTTCCACAAAGTCGCCTGACTGTGGAAGCTATTAAACTGTTGAAAGCTCAGCAATATTTTTGTTTTTAGTAAATAAGTGCTTGGGAAGGCATATCCTTGAGCTTCCTTAGATTAGCACCATGAATGCTTGTGTCCTATAGTAATATGTCCACCTCCAGGTAGTCATAGTGTTTACTTAAATAGAATGACGTGACCCATATATTTTGCAGTGTACTTTTATGTGCTCACAAATTTGTTGAGATCATTAATCCACTTTTTAAGCTGCATTATTTCCTGTTACTGCAATGTATTCCAACACATATTCTGTTGTCCCTGCTCAATCAATAACTGCACCAAGAAGTTCTAGGTGCTTTTACAGGAGAATGATGTTTAAAAATATCTGGGCTCTGGGTCAGTGAGGTGCAGATTCGCCGGTGTGCTGTTGGTGTTGTGCTGGCGGCTCGACTTTGCTGAAAATTGGTGGCGTTGTCCGGTTCGATAACAGGTCAAAATGCAAATCTTTGTGAAGACCCTGACGGGCAAGACCATCACCCTGGAAGTGGAGCCCAGTGACACCATTGAGAACGTGAAGGCCAAGATCCAGGATAAAGAAGGCATCCCTCCTGACCAGCAGAGGCTGATCTTCGCAGGCAAGCAGCTGGAAGATGGCCGCACTCTTTCTGACTACAACATCCAAAAAGAGTCCACTCTGCACTTGGTCCTCCATCTGAGGGGTGGCTGTTAGTTCTTCAGTGTCTTAGTTATGGTAGTGCTCTTCACCATAGCTGTTTGCCCCAATTTAAGTTTAGAAATTACCAGCTTCAATAATAGCTGAACCTGTTCAAAACGTTAATAAAAATTTTGTTGCATGGTAAAAAAAAAAAAAAATCTGGGCTCTAAGTACACTTCCTGTTGTCAATGATGTAGAGGAAAGAATCTCCCATCTTGTTGTATTTCCAGCATTGGCTCATGTTTTCTAAAACTAAAGAAAGAATTTTAAGAACAATGGAGGTTATAAACAGAATATATTTATTGGGAGAAAGCAAGCTTCTCAGACAGACAGGAGTATGGAATGGCAGTTAAGATCCCTGCCTTTTCTAGAGATATTTATAGAGTGAATCCACAAAGTGAGATGGATCCAAGGTGGGAAAAAAAATGGGAAATTGCAATTGGGCATGAGGTGGTATAAAGCTATGGTCAACCAGTAAGATTGTGAACATAACTGCTCAGGTATATTTGATTAAACAGGATCAAATAGGGAAGCAAATCCCATGGTAAGTGGGCATGAATACAGAACAGGGGCTTTTCCTGCAGGGGGTTGGATTAGTGGCTCTTCCTGGCTTTCTCAAGGTGATAGATATCTATTTAGAAAAGCAATCCCTAATGTTTATCCTTAGAGAAATATTTGGGTGCGTTTGTTTGTCTTTTATCATGAGGCCTGGCCACTGTTGGAGGTGCCTATCTCTCCCATGGTTACATGGTATCTCTTCTTCTGTACTGGCTCCTTTAAAGGCTTAGCCCTATCTGACTGCCCATGATATTTTATTTAACTTAGTTGCCTACAACATCCTCAGCATACAAAGGGTGAAGATATGTGTATGTACACAGACCCAGGCATGTATACTTTATATTTATTTCTGTGGGAGTGTGCGTATGTGGGCACATATAGCAATCTCTAACTACCTCAGGGAATTAGTCACAGAACTTCTCTTACATGTTCATATGTAGATGTCTCTTAAGAGTCTTAGGCACTCCTTGGTGGGCCTCTGGATGGTGGTTGGATTATGGGGATTTTAGCAGACTTGCTACTAGAAGGTGGGGCTTAGAAGTGCTGGGTCACGGGGCACATGGCCTGGAAGGGGTCATATCCTTCCTCAGCTTTTCCTTTACCCCTCTATTTCCCCAGAACCAGGACATGAGCAGCTTCTCCTCCATGGAGGCCCTGTGCCACACTGCCCTGTCTTGGAGTCAACAAACTAGGAACTGAAATCTCGATAAACTGTGAGCCAAAAATTAAATTTTCCTCCTTTAATTTGTCGATAACAAGGGTTGTGTCTCAGTGACAATGGGAGCTTGACTAAGAGAGATACTAAAATACTTGGATGCCCAAGTCCTTCATATAAAATGCTTAAGCCCCTTAGATAGTACTTGTGCATAGCCCGTACTTACAGTATAAGTTCAAATAATGTCCTTTAAATGATGTCTAGATTATTTGTGATATCTAATGCAATACAAGAACTAAAAAAATGCATCATTGTTATGCCATGTTGTTAGGTGAATAGTGAAAAGAAAAATTGGTACATGTTATTAAAAGTGCAATTTTTAAAGAATATTTTCTTAATTGAATTCATGCACGCAGACACAAGAATATGTAGGGCCAACTGGATACGTACAAACAACTTCTTGAAGATATCCAATCCCTGCTCCAATCCTGCAAGGTTCATTCTAGATTTCTCTTTTGTTTGTGATTTTTGTGCTCAGACAATGAGAAAAGAGTCTGCGTCTTATTTTGTACAGTATACTGTTATTTGTTCTACAACCATAGTATACACATAATATAGTTTCTGAATGACTAATTCATAGCTGTATGAGAAGCACATTTATTAAGTACAATACAATGTTGTGCTGTACTCTTCATATTTGGCTTTTAATTATGCTCTTATTTTTGTGGTGTTCAGTAGTGTAGGTTTTGGAAAATGCACAGTGTCATGTGCCCACCACTGAATGGGATTTATGCTGTCTCTTCCCTGGCACCCAGGTCTTTACTATGATTGTTACACCACTAGCCTTCCAGGCCCTCCAGCTTGCAGATACTATATTGTGGGAGTTCTCAGCCTCTATAATAACCAAGGAACCCCAGCTGAAACTGTGGATCAAAGCGGAACCGCATTGCCACACTCGTCCACCATTCTTGCCGCAAATGATGGTGAGAAAAATAAACTGTGTTTTGAACTGCAAACTTTGAAAGTAGGCTTTCTTTCTCTTATTTGTTTATTTACTTGTTTTTGTAAAACATAACTGCAAGGAAACTATTAAATTTGACCTCTATTTCACTTCTCATTCTCAAACATTAACTCTATACAGATTATGGCTCTGAATATAAAAGATAAAGTTATAAATATCTAGAAAAGACCTTGGAAGGATTCTTTATGACTTGGAATTAGGCAAAACTTATTAAACAAGACTCAGAAAACTATAGAAAGAAAACCTGAGAAAGTTTACATCAAAATTGAAAACTTATCATTTTCTAAATATACCATTTACAGTTGCAAGAGCCATAAATCAGGACAATATGTTCACATTATATATTTGATTAAAGATTTTTATCGTGTATTTTTCCAGCATTTATTTTCAACCCATCTATGTTTTATGCCTCTTAAAGTGGACCTCATATAGTCATATAGGGAGTTCTTTATTATTATTTTACTCCAACAGCCTACGAGTTTTTCCTTCAGTATGCTCACTCATATGTGTGTTTGAATTGTTTCTACCTCTCTGATTTTGTTACTAGTTTTTATCTGCTGACCCCCCTGCAGTCATAAGCAGTGGTACATAAGTTTTGAAAAACAATGTACCTTTATCACTTGTTTTTAAGATTCTTCTCTTTGTACATTCATGACACTTGTAAATGTATTGTTCAAGTTTCCTTTACTTTCATATATACCTAGGTTAATATCTAGGTTAATATCTTATCTTAGGTACCAAGAAAATTTCCCATCCAGTGTCCCTTAAAATGTTACATATTATCCACACCTTTTTTTTTCTTCTAAAGGTTCCACATCAACATGTCTTATGTGTTTCTTACCTGTTCTGTTTCATTGCTGTTTCTCATTCTTCTTTTAGTATTTAAGTTCACATAATCTATGTTCCTGAATTATAGCTCTCCAATTGTCTATTAATCTGTGCCTTGGCCTCTGCTGTACTAAATGAGCTTCTGATTTCTTGTATATGAGTTTTTACTTCTGCAATGTCCATTTTGTTCTTTGGAAATAGAAAATTCTTATGTAGCAACTTCTCATTTTTAATTCATGTTTCATATGCGTCAATTTACTCAAATTCATTTATTTATAATTGCGTGCCTGAAAACATTATCTACCAATCATAAGATGTACAACCTTTTGGCTAGCTTGGGTTTCACTGAATAAAGAGTAATTATCTAGGACCCGATGTAACATACACACATTGTAGTTAGTATATAAAGTAACACAACTTCTTTTGAAAATATTTGTTATTATAGCACTGAAAATACAAGAAACAAGGTGGGCTGAAAGACAATTTGGATACACCTAAGAGATCACCTGTGGGTCTGATTCTCCAAAAGGAATTTTTTTTAAGAGTTGTAATGAGGGGCCGGGGAGATAGCTCAGTAGAATAAGCACTTCCCTGGCAAGAGCAAGGGTCTGAGTTCAATCCCCGGTTCTGAAAAAAAAAATGTGATGACAAATGCCCTTGATTCATTTCTGGTCACATATGGAATATTTCCAACATTTCTTGATCAGGTATCAGTTTTTGGTAGAATTTTTATACACATATAAATGCTTTGTCTGATCATAAAAGCTCTCTTCTATCCTGTATTTCCTAAAAATTTATTTACTTATTTATCTTCTACCCTATATTTCCTAAAAATTTATTTATTTATATAAATGCCGAATTTGGGCCGGGGAGATGGCTCAGAAGGATAAGCGCTTGACTGGCAAACTCAAGGATCTGAGTTCAATCCCCGGTTCCGCAAAAAAAAAAAAAATGCTGAATTTTTACCTAATATTTGTCTGTATTATTTGGAACAATGGCCCATTGTTTTCGTTGTAAGTTGTGGATGTAGAGAATTGCTTTCACTGATTTGGTAGAATCTGTTGCATTTCTGAATTGAGCAACTTGGCCAAAATATATTTATTTTCTTTTTCTTCTTTGTTAACTTTGCTAATATTTGACTAAACATTTTTGTATTGATGTCACAATTAAGTTGATCAGAAATATTCTTCCTCATTCACTCTATATTGGAATTTTTAAGGTCAAACTTAGGATTTCTCATTTAATGGGCTGGAGTGTTTCTTTGTTTTATATGCTCTACAATTATATGTGTGAATATATTGCTCCCCATTTCCTAGCAAAATTTCCATCTGAGGTGATATGTTCTGTACCTGAAATACATATTTTAGTTTCTTTTTAATGATTCTTCTGTGGGAAAATTAATGCAATTATTTCACTTCAATATACTGCAATGACTGGTATATTTTCTCAGAAACTTAAATGTATCATTCTACTTTGTGTAACCTTTTGATGATATTGAGAAATTTTCATCAGAATAATTACCATTCTCAGACTGGGGTGATAGCTCAATAGAATAAGTGCTCACCTGGAAAGTGCAAGGTTCTGAGTTCAATCCCTAGCACTACCAAAAAAAAAAAAGTCATTCTCTAGACATGGCTTTATTTATATTTCTGGTGGATGAGTTTATCTAGATTGTTACTGCTATATTTAGTTACAAATTTCTTGCTATCCCCCATATCCTATCTTCTCTGTTTCTTTAGCTATCTTCTCTGTCTTTGGTCACATGAGCCTTATAGCATCAATTTTTTTCTTTCTATCTTTTGCCACTTCACCCTTCCTCTGCTCTTCACCTGTGTCTACTGTGCCAGTGCACCCATTCTGTTCAGATTTCATGCTAATTTTTATAGTCCCTCTCAAGCCTGTCTTATATTTTATGATAATTTCAATACCTAATATTTATGCAGATTTGACTCCGATTTAGTTTGTTCTGCTGAGTCTCCCTCTCTGTGGCTTACTTATTTGGTTTTGCTTTGTAATGTGTGCTTACTATGAGCTCGAATTTCTGTGGATATTATTTGAGCTCTGGGCTCTGTGGTTTCCATGGGGAAGGGCTTT